GCGCTGGACTCGGGCTTGGGCTGTCGGCAACGTCGCGAAACGATGGCAGCACCTATATCGAAACAGGAAATGGTCAGTGGAAGGGCGTGCACAGTCGGACTCGATTGGACGGGGCGCGCGAGAGGGCACAAGACCCTTCCGAGGGCCACATTGCCACAGGAATGCATGAATCATGGGTCGCGGGGCACAGGACACACGGGTACCCTTGATTTGGCAGGGTCGACCTACTCTGGGCCGACAAGGGCCACGCACTTCCTCCAGAACGTGGCTCAAGAACGCAAGCCCCTCGCAGCTACTGCCTCTCGCCCCCCCGCCCCTTTAACCCATGGGGGCCCGACTGCAGTGGGGCGGTGGCAAATTTCAACGTCAACGACGGGTCGACGACTCGATCGTGCTGCTGAGGAGCACTCCTGAGCGAGGGCACCGCCACGGCTGGATCCAAGGCCCATCCTCAAAAACAAAAGTGTCGAAACAGGCCATACAATTGAGCGAGCAACGACATATGTACACGCGCGCCCTCCGCGGTCTTGAGTGAACGAATGTCCTCGCTCAAGCGCCCTCCAGGGGAAGCTAACCGCGTGCGCGTGCATATCTTGCTGGCCTCTGAACAATTGAACGCTCGCCAACACACCGCGCGTGCGTCCATGCATACTGAGGCCACTGCACGCAGCGCGAGGTCGCCCACGTTTGCAACTGGGCACCGAGCAATCCGGCCCACGGCCAGGCATGAGCAAGAGTCGCCGTCGCGACGCCGACTGCGCCGCTAGCGGCAACCCTCCCTCGATCGAGGAAGATGTTCTGCAGCGCGGTGTGGTGCAAGGCGCCCCGATCACCTGAAGGCCGTGTGCGGGGGGAACGAACAGGGTCTTCTCACCCCCCTGATCCTCCTTCCTACACTGATCCTGGAGAGCAGCCTCTCCTCCTCATCCTCGCCGCTCCCTGGGGCCCCTCGCCCCTGACCCTCCTAGGCTCAAGCTCTCTCCTCCTCCTCCTCCTCCTCCTCCTCCTCGCCACTCCCTGAGGCTCCTGGTCCCCTCCCCCTTTCTAGTCTTCTATACTCAAGCTCTCTCCTCCTCTTGACGTCCTTGAGGCTCCTCGCCGACCTCCTGACTCTTCCGCCTCTTCCTCGTCCTCGTCCCCCTCCCCCTCCTCCTCTTCCGCCTCTTCCTCCTCCGCTGGTGCCTCGTCCCAGGTGCCAGCTATCATGCTTATGTATGCACCTCCTCCTCCTCCTCGCTCCTCCTCCTGCTTCTCGCCCACGCTCACACGCAACAAACGCTCGCGCGCTGACAATCCCCCCCCCCCCCCCCCCCCCCCCCATCCCGCACGAGGTGGCCTCAAGGATAACATGCGGTCGCCGTTCATGGCGTCGACGGGGTTCGCGCCGATGTTCACGATCACCTCCCAGAGCCAGAGGTCTCCAGAGCGCTCGGGGAAAGATGTAGAGAGATGGGTCGTTCCTCCTCATCCTCGCCCTCCTCATCATCACTCTCCTTCTCCTGATCATTATCGTCCTCGTCCTCATCTTTCTCATTTCTATTCCTCATCCTCATCAGTCTTATCCTCCAGGAAACCTGCCTATATCTCCTCTCCTCGTTCCTTCGCCTCGTCATCTTCCTCCTGTTCCAGAAGGGCGTCGCCTTCTTCGACCTCCTCGTCCTCGACCCCCTTGCCACTCCTCGTCCGCCTCCTCATTCCCCTCCTCCGCCCCCCCCCCTTCTCCTCGCTCTCGAGAAGCGCTGTCAACCATTCCTGCTCATCGACCCGCGCCCCAAGGCACCTACTGCACGTCGAGCGACTTGAGCACCTGGATATTGATCACGTCTTCAGCTTCATCAGGTAGTAGAAGATCTGCTTGAGCGCGAACTTCGACAGGTCGGCCCGGTCATGTTGTTCTTCTCGAGCTGCCAGGCCTTCCAGTCCTTGTCCGCCGTCTGGATGAGCTGCTTCCACTGGGGCGCTTCGTCATCGATGAAGGTCCTGAACGCGATGCACTGGTAGCCCTCGGAGGCGCGCTCGCGGTACTTCAGCTCGAAGTGGTCCCCCGCGTCGTCTTGGCATGTGCGCACACCGTTGCCAAGGAAGTTCGGCTCCTGGCCCCAGTCGATCGGCGGCGTGAGCACGACAGCCGCCTCCTCAGCTGGGGCCGCCTCCTCATCCTCCTCAGCTGGGGCCGCCTCCTCCTTAGCTGGGTTCTCCTCTGGCGCTGGGGCCTCGTCCTTCTCAGCTGGGTTCCCCCCATGGCGCTGGGGCCTTATCCTCCTTGTCAGCTGAGTTCTCCTCTGGCGCCTCCTCCTTCGTCGCAGCCTTGGCCTTCGCGCGCGCCTTCTTCTTCGGCTGCAGCACCAGCTTGGGCGGCGCACTCCTCTTGGGCGTCGCCTTGCCCTCCGCCTTGCCCTTCGGCTTGCCCTTCGGCTTGCCCGTCGCCTTGCTCTTCGCCGCGGTCGGCTTGCCCTGTGGCTTCGGGGTCGCGCCGATCGACGGGCTCGGCGGGATCCAGCTGATAGGCTCTTCGGGCCCCTCCTTCTCCTTCTTGACCTCCTTCTTGATCACCTTCTTGCGCGAGCGGTGGCCCATGAGCTCCTTCATGAACGGCATGCTGATGCCTCCACCGCTGCTGCTCGACGCAGCCGTGCTGCTCGCAGCCTCCCCGAGCTCCTCCTTGGCCATCCCCTCGGAGTCACCCGAGTAGAAGCTGTCCGCCTCCGCCCCCTCGCAGCGTTCGTCCTCGTCCTGCGGGGCCGCCGCCTCCTCGCCGTGCTCGTCCTCGACGGGGGCAGTCGCCCCCTCGCCGTCGCCTTCCAGGGGGACAGCCTCCGCCTCCTCGCAGTTATCCTCGTCCTCTATGGGGGCCGCAGCTTCCTCGCCGTCATCCTTATCCTCGTCCTCGATGGGGGCCGCAGCTTCCTCGCCGTCATCCCCCAGGGGGGCCGCCTCCACCTCCCCGCAGTGTTCGTCCTCCAGGTGGGCAGCCGCCTCCTCGCCGTCGTCGGCCAGGGGGGCTGCCTCTTCTTCGTCGGGTTCGGCGGTGTCCTGTCCACTAGCCACGTGCCCGATCTCGAGATCGAGATCGCGGTCGAGGCGCCCCTCGATCGAGGTCGGCATCGATCCCGGCCTCGATCTCGAAATGGAGATCTCGAGATCGGGATCGACCTGCCCACATCCCCCTGGTCGACCTCGATCTCGAGATCGATACCGATGTGTTGTGTAGTTATACGCTCCTCTTCCAACCCCTCGAACTCCTTCATCACCCCTCCAACTCCCCCAACTCAACTCGCCCCCCCCCCACCCCCCCCCCCCACCCCCCCCCCCCCCCCCCCCCTTCAGCCACCCCCTCCTCCCTCATCCAACTCCGCCCGCCTTCCTCGAAACATCGCTCCCTCCTCCCTCCTTCACCTCTGCTCTCTCCTCCAACTCTTTCCTCCTCTCGCCCCCCCCAGCGGCAGGTGCCCCCCCTATGTCCTCGTCTGGCGCCGCGTGGGCGCTGCGCAAGTACTGCGCGACGACCTCGTCATCTACGAACTCGACCTCATCCGAGCAGTCGACCTGCCACCCCTTCTCAACGATCGATCGCTCGACAAAGTTGCGCTGCTTCCCTCTCGTTCCTCTTCCTCATCCTCCCCATCCTCCTCATCCTACGCCTCCTCCTCATCCTCCTCCTCATCCTCCCCCCCTCGTTCCGTTTCCCCCTCCTCATCTTCTTCTTCGATATATTCCTCCTCCTCCTCCCCCTCGTTCCTCTTCCTCGTCCCCCTCCGCCTCCTCCTCATCACGTTAGTATCCTCTGCACGCCTCTTCGGACCTTCTCCTCCTCCCTCTTCCTTCTCCTCCTCGTCCGTCACCCTGCCCTGACGTTGGGTCGATTCCCTCAAATTCGGCCGAAGTTCGAGTCGACTCCGTCACATTCGATCGATCGAGTCGGGCCCCTTCAAGTTCGATCGGCCGGCTCTCTAAAGTTCGATGTCAACTTCGAACCAGCTACCTCAAGTTCGGTCCCTGGCTGCTCGCCCCGACCCTCTGGTGACCTCCGCGCCCATGTCGCGGCCGTGCCTCCGCTGCCAGTGCGCGAGCCCGATCATGAACGCGCGGAACTCGAGGAACCTCGCTCGGGGCAGCGGCACTGACACAGCAAGCGACGAGGGGGCGCGACGAAAAAAGTTAAACGAAACGGGGACGAGACGCAACGATTCGCCTGCAGCGCCACCAGCCCCTGGACAATCTTCATCGAGATCCCCCGTGCGCCCCTACTAGGGTGACTTACAGCACGTTCTGGCATGCTCGGCCCCAGTGCCCACGTCCTTGAAATCTCAATCCGTTCATCTTATCCTGATTTCCTCCTCTTCGTCGTCCTCATCCTTATCCTCCTTCATCTTCTTCATTCTCCTTATCTTGCTCCTCACCATGTTCCACCCGCTCCTCCCCCTGATCCGCTTATTCTTCCTCTTCCTCCCGCCTCATCCTGGTCCTGCTGCTCCTCAGCCCCTCTCCGAAAGTAAGCTGCGGCGGCATGCTGGCCTGTGGCCCTCCACCATGCTCGCCCTGGGCAGCTTGTGATGCATTTTTTGCACTGCTCCTGGAACCTGGCGCGATAGCGCTTGTCCCAGACAACCTGCGGCAGCGAGGGTCATGGACGGGGAAAGACATGCCGACTCAGGGAGGTAACACTTCCTGCCGGCTGACTCCACCTCCTCGCCTTCCCTTGAGTCACCCCTCCTCCTGAAGGATCCTGCGCCCTCCAATGCCCTCGAGGCTGCCCGTCCTCGACCCTCGCTGTCGCATCCTCATGCGTCTCCTCCTGCGTTTGGGCACGGCGTATATCATCCCCCCTGGGGTCGAAGCTCCGAGAGGGGCAACATAGCTTGCTGACTGCCTCCGCTTGGGCCCCTCCTCCTCCTGCTCCTCTTCGATCTCCTGGGTCACCCCTTCATCCTGCTCATCCTGCATCGGTCCCCCTGTCTTATCCTCATGCTCTTCCTCAATCCTCCGTCTTATCCTCCTGATTCGCTTCCTCTTGGGTGCGTCCTCCTCTGCTGGCTCCCTGGCCCCCTCCTCATCCTTCTCCTCGTTCTCCTCCGCCGCCCCCTTCTCCTCGGTCTCCTCGAGGCTCAGTCTCCTGCAGGGCGCTTCATCCTCCTCTAACTCGAGCCCGTGACTCATGGAAGGCGCAGGCCCGAGGGCCTCCAAATTCTTCTGGCTCATGCGGCGGCCGTTGAACACTTTATTCATCTGTGCGTACGTGGAGTCGAACACCTGGCTGTCGTCGTCATGGGCGTGGCCGCATGTGGATCGTCAGCGTCGGTCCTCCTCCTCCTCGCCCTCCTCTTCCCCCCCCCTCTCCCCCTCGTTCCCCTTCCCCCTTATCCTCCTCCTCCTCCTCATTCGCATCATCCCCCCTCCATCATCCCCCTCGCGCCGTTTCCTCCTCCTCCTCCTTCTTCCGTCTCCTCCTCGCCCGTCACCCTGCCCTGAACGTCGAGTCGACTCACTCAAGTTCAATCGAAGTTCGAGTCGATTTCCCTCAAGTTCGATCGATCGAGTCGAGCCCCTGTAAGCTCGCGCATGCACGACACATCGGGGCGCGCCAGTTGCTGGAGGCGCACGTCCACGCCACGGCACAGAAACGCAAGGACAGTTCAGGAAAAGGCGCGCCTGGCGATCGACATCGTTCATCGTTCCGACGAGCCCTCACAGCATCTGAACACTCCACCTCCCCCCCTTCTCCACCTCCACCACTCCTCATCCACCTCCTCCTCCTGCACCCCCAACCCTTCCCTTCCCCTCCCTTTCCCTTCTGCCCCCTTTCCCTCCATCCCCCCCCCGAGCACCGTCAGCAAGCAACCCCTCCCAAGCACCGTCAGCAAGTCAGGCATGGGCCGATTCCCTGACTGGCTCACGCTGTAGATGCCGAAGTGTGGGACCTGCGTGAAGCCTCCAGGTCGGGGAAATCGTCGTCGGCCCCATCGTCGTCGATCTCGTCTTCCTCCTCCCCCCCCCCCCCCCCCGCCTCCTCCTCCTCCTCCTCATCCCCCTCCTCATCCTCATGTTTCTCCTCACCTTCCCCATCATCTGGTTATTCCTCCTCTTGTGTGAAGCCTCCAGGTCGGGGCAGTCGTCGTCGGGATCACCGTGGTCGCTCTCTTCTTCTTCCTCCTCTCCTTCCCCCCCCCCCCTCCTCCTCCCCGCCTCTCCTCATCCTCCTCCCCCCCCCCCTCCTCGCCCCCCTCTCCCCCTCATCGTCATCATCCTCATCATCTTTCTCTGCACCTTCCTCCTCATCTTGTTCTCCCTCCTCTCGCCTCCTCCTCCCATCCCTTCTTCTCGTCGTCCTCATCTCCCGCCTATTCATCCGCGTTCTCCTCCTGCTCGTTGTCCTCCTCGTATCCCCCTCGCCCTATGTGCTTCGCAGCCCCCTCATCCTTATCACCCTATCCTGTTCCTCGCCTCATCTGTCTCATCCTTCTCACCCCCCGCCCCCCTTCCCCGATGGGCCTTCGATCATGGGCGCGGCGCGGCTGTCGTCTTGATGGCCCAGCGCCTCGCGATGCGGGGGCTCATCCTTGCATCCCCCCTCCTCACCTTCCTCATCCTCATCCTCCACCTCCTCCTCGCCCTCATCCTCATCCTCGTCCCTCCTCCTCATCATCCCCATCCTCATCTTCTCGAGGCCTTCATCGATCCCTCTCCTTCCTCCTCCTCCTCATCCTCCTCCTCCTCCTCCCCCGCATCCTCCTCCTCGTCCCCCTCCATCCCCCCCGATAGACACAGCCATGCGCGCGGCGCCTCCGCCACATCATCCAGCGCGACCTCCTCTAGTGCGATCGCCTTGGCGCGGCGCAGCTTGGGCGCCATCGCCCGGCAGCGGAACGAGGGGGCGAGGGGGCAGCGGGAGGGGAGAGAGCAGGACCACAACGGCGGGCGAATATGAGAAATACGGGGTGGATGAGGACGGTGGAGAAGAAGGGGGCGGGGGGAAGGGAGCGAGGAGGAGGAGGAGGAGGAAGAACAGAACCAGGAGGAGGAGGATGAGGGGGGGGAGGAGAAGGAGGAGGAGGGGCGGCCTTGACCAAAACCATGTGGGAGGCGTACTTCTTCGCGGATTGCTTGCGCGCCCATGCTGCGAATTCCTTGACTATGTTTCTGCCAGCGCGCGACTCAGGGATGTCCGACATCACCATCGGCTCGGGGGGGGGGGGCTCCTAGAGGAGGAAACCAGGTGATCGAGGAGGGGGAGGAGGAGGAGGAAGGGACCCGAGGGATATGCAAACTTTCTGGGAGAGGTTCTGACGCGCCTGGCCGCCGCGCGGGGGCCGGGGGAAACGAAGGGGGTCCTCAGGCGGATCAGTTAGAGAACGAGGAAGAGGAGGAGGACGAGGAGGAGGAGGAGGGGGAGGAAGAGGAGGGGGGGAGAAGGATCAGGAAGATCAGGAGGATCATGATCAGGCGGATCAGAAGGGGGGCCATCAAGAGGATCAGAAGGGGGCCATCAAGAGGATCATGATC